TTGTCTCTACTCTATTATTCTTAGATATGATACTTTTATATAGTTTTTATTTCTCCAATCACAATAAGCTCATTATTTTAATGAGCTCTATTTATAATAGATTTTGGAAACTACTTATTTACAACTGTCCTGTTTAACAATGTAATTAAGGAAGTTACCAAACTATTAACTGATTTACTACATTTTTTTTCTGTACACCAAAATCATAGCTCGTCACTCTCGTATCTGAGTTGTTGTATCTAATTGTTTATAATTTACCAAAAACGCAATTAGCTGGGCTGTCGAAAACAGGCAACATTTGAAGCCTGACTGAAGGCAACCATATTAAAAATATAAACTTTCTTTGACTGGACTGCCAATCATTTGTTTGGGAAGCCCACAATAAACCCATATAAAACTTGTGGAACAATGGCCAGCCGGTACAGTGGAGCCCAGCCCAAATCAACTGCTGCTGTAAGCCAGTGCAATGATACAGTTTTGCTACCAAGTGCCATTTTTATCTACCATAAGCACTCTTCGTAAGCGGTTTTCCAACCACTGTGCTCGGCATGGGGCCATTAGCAAAACTTTTCCGAAAAAAACGAGTTAGCAGGGGGCCGGGAAGTTTTTCCGGGGGGAGGAGGGGAGGGGGAGGACGCTGGAAGTCTGCTTCTATGTTAAATGAATTGTTGTCTTAACTACGAGACAAGACCCCCTTCGCAGTCGACAGGTGAAGGGGTCTGTGTCTATTAAAATTGCGGGCGCGGTGCAGCATCCAAAAAAGTTTCACGAAATTTATTTTTCGAAAAAGTAAAAAAAAATAAAACAAAAATTGTAGATCCACTAAAAAGTGAAATAAAAATTGAGATTCTTTCAAGCTGGTTGTTTTATACTCTTTTATTAAGCAATATCCAACTTGAGAGTATTTTTTTAAAATATTGAATTAAATAAAATATTGCATTGAGAATTTAGCTTCAAAAAGGTTTTAAGCTTCACATAACAAAATAGAGAATTAAGTGAAGAAATTAGAAAGAACAAAATTATACCAAGTCTATTATTAAACAAAATTTTATGTCAATAGCTTTACAGATTCTTCCTTTCGGAATACACCCCCAGTTATAGTTGAAGTTTGATGGTTATCATTAAAATAAACAGCTTTTCCTGAACGACCCCAAAAGCAATTTCAAGGCAGAGATTCCAAGCTGGAAGCTTTCAAATTCAACACCTGAAAATGTCACATTCACTTCCTTCCTGGCAAACTCCTACCCATAATTGCAGTGCCCCACAGAGAAGGGTATGAAAAGTTTAAATAACTTTGGCAACTAAATTTAAGTTGCGATGTCGGTGGGATAAGGGGGGGTGTAGTGGGAGTGGCATACTGCGAGGGTTGTGACAAAGTTGGGAGCAGATAAAAACTGCAGCAGACGCAAAACTAATTTGCGTGGTTATGTAAATTAGAGTCGGAGAGTTGCTGCGATAAACTTGTTGAGGGCGAGGAGCTAACAACAGCAGGAGTAGTAAAAAAAATCGCAGCACAAATGCGTAAACAAGGTGGGGATAATGTTGGACGATGCAGTTGAAACTAAACTAAAGCTCCAACTCACCTTGAAGTTCAGCCGAGTCCGAACTCTCGGCAGAAGTTCAAACACAACTGAAGGCAAAGGCGGTTTCGTTTACCAAATTGTGGGCGTGGCCGTGTTCAAGACCCGCTCTATATATGCAACTATATACAGTGTACACCTGGATGTGGGCTTTGCAGCCGTAATCCCGTAACCACAAACAGATAACAGAATCCTCGGGCGAGGAGACAAAGACGCCGCTCGCCTCAAACAACTAAATAATGTGCAGCAAATTTAGTGCTTCAGTGCGAGTATCTGAAAGATACACACACACTTTCCCAAGCTCACATAAGCACTGAACAAAAATATTTGTTGTCCTTTTCAAATTATGAGATAACTAACCCATTGTGTATTTGAGCTGCTGAAAGATACACTTTACAGTCTCCCAAACTCACATAAACACTTCAAGAAAATTATATGTTTTTATTTTCATATTAGGAGAAAATTATACATTTAAAATTAAGATAAATTAAGTATTGGGATTATTAGACAAAATATAAATTATAATTTATATATAGAATAAATCCCTTAAAGGCAAACTAATTTAATGGAACATTAAGTTGACCTAAACTTATATTAAACATATGTTTAGGGCTTAATTTTTGTTTACATTTTTTTCAGTCTTATTTTGATATCAAAAATTTGTCTGTCTGTATTTGAGAGAATTTTTCGCCTAACAGCTGGCAAGGCTTAGGCATAATTTGGGCCCATACTGGCGGGGACAAGAGTGAAATCGCATCCTGCAGATGCATCGTCGGTTGTCTTGGAAACCGCAGGAGGTGCAAGCCGTACTATGATTCGTAGTTCCCGCTCTCTAAAGTCAAATTAATAATTTTGTTGGGTCTGTCGGCTCACCACCTCCGCCTCCTGCTCTTTTGGCATCCCATGGACCGCAACAACTTGCAGGATGCAGTTGGTAGAGCGGGATACAAGCTGTTACCATGGCCATTAAGGCTTAGTTACACTTATCCCCCGGACCACCCACTTCAACAACATACCTAGTTTTGTTTACATTTCCCATGCAAGCCGAAAAAAGACGATGGTAAAATACACATGAATTCCGGCCAACTGGTGCACCTGCTGGAAAAGTCGGGCTGCTTTGCACCTGTTGTCGAGATTTGATTCTACTCGGATAGATTGGCACTTGGAAAGCTTTGGGCTGGCGAATTGAAGAAGTTCTGCTTACCAATGTGTAAATGTTTGGTCTGTGCTCCACAGAGAAATTCCCATGTGGCCATAGGCACAAAGACTAATAATTCAGAACATTTTCATGGGAAAATATCTCTGCAGTCTGAGGGATAATTTTCCTCGGGGCTGGCAGATCAATATTGACTGCGTTTCGCCCACACAATATTGTGGGATTTCCTTCTGTAGACACTAATTAGTCGCCTCCAGAACTTCCGTCTCTCACTTGGTTGACATGTGATATTTTTAGTGGCGGCTTGTTTACAGGGTTGCAGACGTTGAACCCCGACCCTCATTTATTTTTAGACGCCTGCAGCTCCATTCATTCGATTTGTGTTGTTAATGACATGCAAATCAACTTTGGTGGTCCTGTGACAAATACCCGCTCCAATTACGCCACGAAAATTCCCACTGTGTTTATATTTTTTTGACAGCTGATTGTTTTATTGAAAAGTGGCACGGGGCAGAAGGGATTTCTCCTTTTTATTGGCTGGGTGCCAATAGCAAATAAGTAAATATTTACTGTTTACTCTAGCCGGGGCTGTGAGAAAATCATTAAATCAGTACCGACTGAGACGGCAGCAGTTTTTCATACCCAAAAGCAAACACAAACAGCGAAATCAATATACCGTGCGATCGGGCGGAAAAACTAACTCAAAGGGTAAATACTAAAAAATTTAATTAGAATTTCTGTTATTAAATAAAATGCCACCAAAGAGCGAAATGCCACTAAATTGAAAAATTTGAAATCGAGCCGAAACAGAAAAAGAGAGTCTCTGTGAAATTGGAAACGAAATGAAATAAAGCTCTGCTAAGTTAGAACCCGCACAGAAATCACACACAAACATTTCCGCTGCCAGAAACGGAAAATGGGAAAATGGCCGAAATAAAAACAAATGCTAAAAATGTAAAAGGTATTTAAAATGTTTTTCAAATGCGGTTGCAGTGGTTTCAATGTGTGGCCGGCAAAGTAAATGAAAATATTTCAGCGAAATGAAAAATGTTTGCCCACACACACAAAGTATATGTTCGAGTGTGTGTTTGAGTGTGACTTTCAGAGGAGATTAAAAAATGTTGATGTTTTGCATTATTTATTAAATATGCTAAATGGCACAAGTCAGTGGCGAAAATCTCTACACTCAAATGACAAATTCAAGGCGCGATGTTCGCCTGGCCAACCCAGATAATGAGAAAAAATAAACGCCAGGCCGTAAAACGTCTAGTTCCGCACATAAACCTGTCCCTCTATGGCTCGGATTTTACGACCTCTCCAAACCGCCCATCGTCCGTTGTCAGGGGCATAAACCAACGAGATCACCCCGCCCACGCAATAAAAAACATAAAAAAAAGACTGGAGGTGGAAACTGTACACAAATTACCAATTTTTAATTTGAAAATGCGGCACAAACTTTAATTAGCCATTCCCCTTGTCCAGGACCAACTTTATGGCACTTGGCGCCGCCAGCCGGGTCCGCTGCACATCAAGACTTTAGTATTTATTGGCCAGCAAGGCGCGTCGGTGCAATTTATGGCCAAAAGTGTGAACGTGTGTCCGCACCACTCGCCGATGCACCACCGCCCATCGCCACTGCCCCACCGTCGAGGCCGCAAAATCCACAGAATAATTTCGGTTGCTGGCTGTGATTTGGCTTTGGATTCGCCACGGCCATAGCCTGCTCTAATTTTCAACGCGCTTCTCTATATATGTATTTTTTTTAAAGGATCCTGGCGTGTGTGCAGTGCGTGTGGAGCTTGTGGCTTTTGCCACGCGCGCTAGAAATAAATTTTGCCCGGCACCCAAACGATTTAATTTGCGGTTTTTGTCACAGGCGACGCACACACACTCGATTTTCCATTGGAAATTGATAAAACTTATTTGCGGACGGGCTGCCGATAAAAAAGGATGACAACAAACAAGCGATTAAGCAACAAATCAGATAAAAATTCTGTCAAAATTGAGCATATATTTAAGGTACATACGTTCAGAGTTTAAACTAAGTCTTTAGTGTTTTTCTTCCCATAAATAAACTAGTTCTACAACATTTTAGATAGTTGGAAGAAATAAATACTTCAACTGTAATTACGAACTCTAATTGGAGCCATATCCCAATAAATAAATATAACATTTGATTTTCCACAGGAATGGTTTTATGCAAAAAGTTTATCAAACAAGAATGGTGTTGTTGAATTATTTTCTTTATTATTATTGTATGAAAGGTATGAAAAAATATAATTTAATGTCTTAAAATATTTTGCAAATAATTAATCTTCAAAAATTTTGGCAACACTTCACTCAAATTTCATGAAACCTCACACATCATATTTGACCGAGGAAGCAATCAATCGCCTTGCAGTGCTTGAAAGTAGATTGCAGGTAGTAGAACCGCAACCATTCGTATTTCACATCGCAGATGTTACTCGGTTTCTGTCTGCGATAGTCGTTTATGAGGCTCCTGGCTCTCAGCCACCGATACCTCAAAACTCTGCTCAGGTTTAGGATGTCTTCAAGGCTGCAAGGATATCGACCTCCCTTGAATTCCACCCGCAGCTTCTCCTTTATTTGAAGCATGAATAGCTTGTGGTTCTGTCTTAGCTCACTTAAAGTGGTAAGTTCTTCCAGTTGATTGAGTTTATCAGGATGTGATAGTTGTTCCTCGAGGGCAGAAACTAAAGAAGTCTTTAGCGATCTTAGAGCTTGAACCAATCGCTTTGACTTGTTGATTTCAAAAGCAGGCAAATCTTTCAGCTGATAAAGTGAAAAGTGCACGTTCAACTTCAGACGAAAGTACTTGTTCATCTGATCAATTTGCAATTGGTTGATCACTCGGTTCAGGATGGGATCGTAGCTGACCTTTATGCAGATAAATTCAGGATGTGGTCCTGTTAAACAAATACGAAGCAGAACACTTAAACGGGGATCTTGAGAAGCTAATATCTCCTTCAACTGATTGGAGGCTATTATCAACCGGTTTCTTTCCATTAACTCAAAGAACAACTCAAACTCACTTCGCAATAGGTCATAGTTTAGGAGAAGAAAAGCTGATTGAAGGTGTCTCACAGTCTTGTCCACCTGCGACTTATTTACCATCTCAGAAATATACGAGTTGGCCAACAAGGAACGTCGATGCAGTAATCTTCGAAGCTCTTGGGAGATGATCTCTGATATGGGAGTGTACGATGCACAGGCTTGAAAGTTCATTAGGAATTCATCAAGTGAACAATCTGAAGGTTGCCACGGATCTGGTCGAGTTTCCATGTGAAAGTTGTAGAACAAACGGCGCACTGGCTCCTGATCGGTGAGCTTCAACTGTTCAAGGATATCGGGGGCATAGCTGTTATCCTCTATGCTTTCGGTCTGATAAGGAGCTAGTTCCTTTAGTACCATTTCCATCAGCGAATTGTGAAGGGATATCTGCATCACATTTCCATGCAAGGAATTGAAATCACCTATTTTACGCGAATCGTAGAGTATGGCCACTGCTTGACGCGATTCAATGATATGTCGCTGAATGATTTTAAATAAAGTCCCTTTTTGCAGTTCTACTTCATCGAGGAACAACTTTCTCAAATCATACTCCGTTCTTCCGGCGACTATAAGTCTTTGGTAGGGAAACTCTTCGTGCCAGTCTGTAAATTCACCAGTTAACCACCAGCTATCCAGGAATTGACAATAGGCCTGCAAAGAGTGTAGTAGTAGAGAAGCACTCAAGTACCGCTCCAATTTGGGTTGACTACTCTTGGAACTAGCCATGAAAAGGGATTCCAGAAATCGCATGCTCCGCACCGAAGAGTCTCCATCATAATTGTCCTTTGAGAAATGATATAGCAACATTATCCTCTCGAACGGAGCACTTGAGGTCTCTACAAAGTGCTGAAGGGTAGGGGTTTCAAGGCCCTTTGTCAATCGCCTCTCGAAATAAACTAAGAACTCCATAACAGGTCGAAGAAGTCGCCGCAGAGCCACACTGAAAGAAGTCAGGGTCTCCAAGCGATCACCACTTATTCTTTTCGTTGTATGTAGCTCTATTAATTGCCTAAGATTACGAATCTCCTTGAGGGAATTAAGGATCTCAGCAAAGAAGGGTCCCTCGGTTAACTGACTCAGGGCACAAGTGTGTATTCCGTCCTTCCGCAGCTCAAATCCCTCATCCAAAATCTCGAAAAGATTAAAGTCTACGGTTGCGAAGAATAGGATAATCAGTTCTCTCAAGAGTTCCTGCTCCTCGCTCATTTTTCGTACCGAATGACGACTTTCTCGCAGCTGATAAAGCAGCCAAATTCCATAATCCTGGCTGAAATTAGTGCCCAAGATTCGTGGCTCGTGGTACACATGAATATCAACCTTCCACCAGGGCGTCTGAATCCGGGAGAACAGGTCATTGGCTCCCTTGAAGAAGTTCACCTTTGTGGGTTTCACCTTCGTGGACTCCACTTGGGTGAGATTCAGTTCCAGATCCATCGAGGCCTCTTTGATGGCGAAGTTTTCCTTCACTTGGACATTGTTTAACTTTGGCTCTATGTAAGTAGAATAGCTGATTCCCGAAATTTGTGTTGGTACCGGTGATTTCTGTTGTTCTATTAGTTCCATTTGAGGAAGGGATCTTACGCTGAGCTCACTTTCAGCATCCCAGTTGCGACTTGTGTGATCTGAGTTAATCAAACTCCTGGCACTTTGGGTCTGATTCCTGGCCCATTTTCGGTGGGAGGCCAACTGATCTGTAGACAAATCATACTGCGAGGAACCACCTGTTAAGCGAGATGTAGCACTCATAAGACTAGATCTGGAAACACTTCTCCATATTTTCTCTTCGGGAAATTCGTCCGAACTTTCGCTGGCCAGAATGAGAGCCTCCAGGATGTTCTTGCGCTTCTGCTCCATCTCCTTCCAATTGCGTTGGACCGTCTGAAAGGCCCTGTAGTTCACCGATAGCATAAAGTCTATAAGGCTCCATTGAAGGTTCTCCTGCATGTGAGTCAAACAGAGCGGATGGTTCAGAATCACATTGGCCAGCTGCTTAAAAGTATCTGCAAATTCGGGCAACTTCTCGGTGCGATAGCGCTCCAAAAAGTAGTTCATATTGAGCAACACGGCTTCTGGACTAGACTCCAGGTGGCCTCGAGTGTACTGCAGGTGATTCCTGGCATACCTGAGGCAACTCTCAAAGGTGTCAGCGTTCACCATCCTTTCACTTTCGCCATCCTTGTTGCCGCCTTCAATGGGGGAATCCAGCAGCAATCGCACCAACTGCGGCACATTGCGGGCTATGACTTGCTGGCAAACGTAATCTTGCATCCCTTTTAACGACAATATTGTAGAAAAATATATATATATATGTTTTCATGTACAAACGACAGCTGAGAATTGATAGTCACACTGAAAAAACTGGGTCTGTCGAGGCTTGAAATCAAATATTTGAGTTAGAGCGACTTTATTTTAGAAGTAAGTTGTTAAGGAAAGTTTTGAGTATAAGAAAACTCTTAATAATTAATATAAAAATAAACACAATTAAAATATTTGGTTTAAAACTAATATTTAGGAAGCCAAGAATTGAATAGAGCTTAACAAATCAATTAATGGCAGTTATAAAACGTTTAAATACATTGATTCGCTGATTCTTGCAAATATCTCTTTTGAATTTTGTTGTTTCCTTGAGTGCAAGAGTATTCTGCTTCAAAGGACTTGGAAAAATAGGGATGCAAGCAGCTTACGTTGTTTTCCAATGACCAAGACCAGAACGGCTTACAAAATGCTTAAAGAGAATTCGAACATGTAAATTCCTGTGGCATTCACCGAGCAACTAGAGCAGCAACTGGAGGACCTTAGTGACCCACTTGGGCATCCTCCACAGCTCCCGTTTTTTCATCCCCAGACTACATGCGAATTTTGCTTTATTTTATTGTCCGACAAGATAAATACCAAAATATTGAATATGTACCAATGGGATGTGGAGAAATGCACAAGGACATGGAGCAGATATTCGAAAGGTGTCCGAAATGGGAGGAGAAGCAGCTTCTGTCATCTGCTTCCGACCAATAACTCAAATGCAATCGAGCATTCCATCTGCAGCAGGGTAAAAATAAACCAACTACCGGCCTTTCCCAAGAGTCTCAAATGGGTAGAATTTTGAATACTTATTGCAGATTTCCCATAAATTGGAATATTTTTAGGCTTACGCAAATGAACACAGCTCTATTATTTGTCAGTGACCCCAAACAATTTTGCATAAACTTTAATTCACTGTCAATAAAAAGTTTTTTCAATTTCCTTGGGATAAGACATAGAAGCAGATGAGAAGAATAACATCAAATCAATGAAATCCGCAAATAATTTTTTTTAACTTAACATTTTGAAAGGGGGAGAAGTTTGTCAAATATTTGGAAAATATTAATTTGCTGCCAATGCAAACTTCTGGCGATATTTTCTTTTTTTCTTGCCAACCAAGGCGATAGACAACAAATTTGCAGAGGACACTTCACAGAAGGAAAGTTTGGCCGAAGGACGGGGCTAGATGAAATCTGCACCAGAAAACAAAAGCCGAAATGTATAAAAACAGTGAAAACGGCTTGAAGGCAAACTTGCCGGGCCAAAAACTTTCTTTGGCGAGAAGTAAGCGAAAAACTTAATAAAGATCGTCCTGCAGGACGCTCTCTAGAGGCAGGATGCCCGACTTGGCTGCTGACAGCTCTTGGTCAATGGAGAATGGAAAGTGGAGGATTGGAGGAGTGCAGTACGACCGCAGCCTGTCGAAATTAAACCAAACTGAATTTGCACTTACACTTCGGCATCAGGACTCCCGCAGGACTCGCTCCATCCGGCGCCTGTCGAAATTGTCACTTTCGCAGTTCCCCCAATAGTTGACTGCTGCACAATGGTTGGTGGCGTCAAGAAGCGCGTAAGTGACATTTATGCGCCTGCCAACTTGCATCCTGCAACTCCCCAGTTGCGAAACTGCGCTAAACTTTCGCCCAAGGCCAAACGAGGATGCCGCGGATTCGACCCAAGTTTGTTTTAATAAATACCTCCATTGTCTCCGCCACCTGCTGAATGGTTTTCCGAGAGGGAGGTGGCATCTGAACTTCTCAACAGTCTTTCCCCCCCATCGACAGTTGCCCCCAGAAGTTGCCGCACAATGGAGGCAGTCACCAGGAAACAATCAGCTCTGGCAGAAGTCTCAATCACAACCGCGGAATGCAAACGAGAGCTGCTCAAAATTACTCATTTTTTTGAACTTTTTCACAGCCATCCACGATTGTTGCAATTAACGAAAGTTTGCTTCTCGAATTAAGCTGAGAAAATGGAATGCAAATGGTAAAAGGAGATACCAAACTGGGAACTGTGGAGGCGTTGAAAAAATATAAAGATAAAAGTAGTGCAGCTTGCGGTGGTTTTATTGAAAGGTGAATTCTTTATTTTTTTAAGAAAAAAGTTTTTATTTATTGTTCAGCATGGGTTTTCATTAACTCATATACTGAAAAAGTATTCTGTTTAACACACCAAGCTAAAAGAAAATGTAGTTCATTTACAGAATATTAAAGAACAAAAATATATTGGTTGTAAAATCGTCCTTTTTTTATAAAAGTAAACCCGTAATTCTGAAATTTAATTCACTGCGTAGCAAACTTCTAAATTAAATTATATATAAATATAATTCGTCATAAAATCGTGTGAGCTAAAAGTACAGCTGGAATTAAAATGAGGAAGATTATTTCCCTTCGAGTTTCTGTTTTACAGTCTGATGAACTTGGGGATAAGTTCAACATTTTATGGGGGCCACATCGCTTCCCCGAATCCGTAAATCTGGCTGCAACTCACCTCTGTCGCTGATGGGCCTCATTTAGCGGAGATTCCTTATCAGGCGACCGGATGTCGGCAGAAACTACCTCAGCCCGAACACGTGGACTATTTATAGAGCTCATTTGGGATCCAGCACACAGATCACAGCCCACATCTGGCCGCCAGGAGCAGGCCACACAAAAAACACGCTTCCCGATGCCAAAGGGCATTGGCACCTCCCCGCAAACCCCCAACTCCCCATGTAATTTGGAGCTATGGGCAAAGTTAATTAGTTGTGATTTTTCAAAGAACATTCAAAATCGAAGCGGGCAGCCGAAAACACAAACAATATTGTCAGCCTGCGGCGAAAGTCGAGGGGGAAACTGCAGCCAGGCGTGGCACATGTTGAGTGTATAAAATTTTGATGAATGTTTTGTTTACAGGCCGTGCAACATCTCCCCGAACAAGGGGTTGATTATTACGTGGAGGAGGCAACTGCATCTGACGGCATCTGGAATGCGACACACAAACATACACGCCATGTGCCGCGGCTCGGATTGGAGATGGAAATTGAATGAGAATTATATCGGATATCCAGACACAAGACATGCAGATGAACTTTATACATAAGAAAAATGTGGATAATTAACTACACCTGACAAAAAACTCAGTAATAGTTATCAACTGACAAAATTGCATTGCTATAATATTGTTTTCGATCCTGTATAATTATAATGATAAATGAAACTATAGTTTAAGCAAACTTCTCTTTTATCCTTAGTTAAACACACTATTAAATAATAAATATTTAAACCGTATATAAAGAATAAAATAAAAACCAAAACTTTATTTTCTTACTTTATAAGTTTGTAATTTAAATAACTATATTTAAATTAATACTATTTTTGAGCAGTGTCTGCTTTGCACCCTGGAGCAAAAGCCATAAATTACGCAGCATAAACAGACTGCAACTAATTAACGAGAAAATGCATCATCTGCAGCTCAACATCCCCGAAATCATTTCTTTATATTTTGTTGTCTTGTAGACTTAACGATTTCCGATTTTCTCACAGCTCAGGTGAAAGTGTGTCTGTCGAGGACAAGTATGGGTAAATTGGCTCAAATTGGAATGGCATGTTAAGTCCCCCGGGTAGCATTTATTTTCCTAATCAAATTTGCCTTTCTTCGGCAGAGCCGAAAATAATAATTTAAATATTTTGGCCTACGGCCATGGGCGGCAGGAAATGGCATTTGGGCAACTGGCTGGCTAACAAGCTAGCCAACAGCAGTGGCAAACAAGGAAAAACTGGAGTAAGGCCCTCACAACAATGGCAAAAACTTAACTCTGCCGCGAGCCACAAACGCACACAAACACAAACACACACCCGAGCGATACAAAAGAAGCCGAAATCCCGGGAAGAAATTAGTTTCTCTTCGTCCTGCCCCTCTAGCCCCGAGGTCCTTGCAATTCTGGTCCTGCTGTTTGTTTCCCTAGCCGTTGTAGCTACTGCTACTGATGTTCCTGTTGTGGGCAGCACACAAAATTGGCAAATACAAGCGGACTTAGGCCACAGGAGCTTTTACTGGCGAAAACAAAAAGCGGAAAATTCCTGAACGGGCCGCGGGGCAAAGGGGAAAGCGGCGACAAAAACACAAAAAAATGTTGCCAATGCAAAAAGTTGTATCGTCGCAAAGGGCGAAAAATGCAGGCCGCAGACAGACGCAAAGAACAACCCACAAAGTGGGTGCCAACAGGATCGGGGGGTGGAAGGGGGGAGGTCCTGCGAGGGGCCGACACTCCACAGATAATTTGGATTTTTGTGTCCTCGACAGCTATTTAATCGAGTCACAGGAATTTCTCTTATTTTAAAGTCCTCAAATTACACTTACAGCGAATTAATGTATTTTTAAAATTCATTAACTTAAAACCATTTGATTTCAATTTTAGATTCAGTAAAGCAAATTTATTTTATGTTCGAAATAACTTAGCTCATTATTTCTAAGACAAAACTAGCATAATTTTTGGGTGCAAAAACTGGGTCCAAACATTCCGAAAGTGTTATAGCAAACTATCCTGTTAAGAATACCTCAAGAAATAGATTTAACACAGCTTATTTTCGTTGCCTATCATTTTTCCATGGAAACAGAATAAATGCAAACTTTGTTATTCCTCAGTCTAGCCAATGTTATCATAGCTTTTACATGCGTAAATATGAATACAACCGAAATCGAACTAAAAGCAGCAACAAAGCCCACGTGGATCCATCGAGGAGGCAGCAAAAAAAAGTTCAAGAAGATGATGAAATTCCAGCGATGCCGGAGGTCTCCCACCCATTTCCACTGCCCCAAGTCATCGTTTTCCTCTGCTAAAGTTTTGGACCACAAACAGAGTCCAGGACAAAACCAGGTGTCGTTATGGGCGCACACGCCAAAAATTTCAATAGCGCGGCGAAAGTTTCATTGACTTGACAGGTGGGTATTCGGCCCCCAATCCTCCTCAGCAGCTGTAATTGTTACCGTTTAAATACCCATTAAACGCGACTCGGCCTAGGCAAATGGCTCTCACTTGGCCGCCGGCCG